CAGAGGCGTAACCCGGGGCAACGCACGCCACCCGCCCCCAAAAACACCCCAACAAACAAACAAACACACGAGCACGGGACCAAAAAACCCCCGACCAGAGCCCGGACCGAGGTCACGGCCTCTGCTCGCTCGCACACGATTGGACGGATCTGGAGCCTGAGCGCAGGAGACGAGGTGATGACAGCCAATCAGAGCGCAGAGAAGGTTTATCGAGAAGTCTGACGGGTTTGGTTTGGGTCTGAGAGTCGCACGAGGAATTTACACGAAAAATCTGTGAAACCGTTTGAAAATAAAGAGAAGTTTCTGACAATCTTTAGTCAAGTCCTGGACCAGACTTTGACATGATCCAGACCTTGGTTTAGTCCTGGTTTAGTCCTGGTTTAGTCCTGGTTTAGTCCTGGTTTTTATATTTTTGATGGTGCAGCTCTCAGGTCCAAACTGAACGGATCCAAACAGACTAAAGACTAAAAGTCGCCGGAGTTTGAAGGTTTGATTTTCCTTTGACAATCGAAGCCGAGTCGAGCGTCGTGTTTTCACCAGACGCCCAAAGTCACGGCGACGCTTCAGAACGTTTAAAGTTTGAAACTGTGCAGAAGATCCAGAGAAAAACCTGAAGAGAGAAGAGCGAGAAACGAACCTGTGCTACAAAAACCACCGAGAAAATCCACACAGATCTGAGGGAAATTTCACTCGAAAATTCACTTTTTAAATGTTTTCAACAAGTTTTGTTTTGAGATTCATTAGTCCTGTTTTAATCCTGGTTTAGTATTGATTTTGTCCCTGATTTAGGCTTGGTTTAGTCTCTGGTTTAGTCCTAATTTAGACCTGGTTTAGTCTCTGGTTTAGTATTGATTTAGTCCCTGGTCTGGACTTGATTTAGTTCTGTTTTAGGTCCTGGTTTAGACTTGGTTTAGTTGTTGGTTTAGTCCTAGTTTAGTCCTGGTTTAGTCCTGGTTTGTAGCACAGTAAAAGTCTTGGTCCAAACTAAAAGAACCTGAAGTGGAGGTCTGGGTGTGACCCTGCAGGGGGCGCTCTCTCTGTGAGGGTCTGGGTCTGGTTCTGGTCCTGGTCCTGCAGGGGGCGCTGTCTGGTGGAGGCCCGGGTGTGGTTCTGGGTGTGGTCCTGGGCTGTAGTCCTGGTCTGGTCCTGCAGGGGGCGCTCTCTCTCTCTCTCTCTCTGGTGGACGTAGCATTAGCTCGTAGCAGTCAGTGTTTACATGGAGTAGCAGCAGAAGAAGAATCTGTAGTTCTCAGACGAGGAGTTTGTAGTTTTTCTGTTGCCTTCCCCCCCATACTTGAACCTAAAGGAGCGTTCGGGTCAAACAGGGTCCAACTACACTACCCACAATGCACCACACGCTACACAAACGCCACGAGCTCCACTAGACTACAGTACACTACATTACCCAGAAGGCCGAGCGGCGGCGTCTGGGCCGAGGAGACGACGTTCAAACAGAAAAGACAAGAAAAGACAAGACACGCAAGAACTAAACCTGGACTGAAACACGACTACATGGATTTAGTCCTGGTTTAGTCCTGGTTTAGTCCTGGTTTTGTTCCTGTATTGACCAGGTTTTTAAATTTTAGGATTAGACTTGGTTTAGTTCTAGGTTTACACCTGGTTCAGATCTTTGTTTAGTTCTGGTTTAGTCCCAATGTAGACCAGGTTTTGTTCATTTTAGGATTAGAACTGGTTTAGATCTCAATTTAGACCTGACTTAAACCTATTTTAGTCCTGGTTTTGTCCTGGTTTAGTCCTGGTTTTGTTCCTGTATTGACCAGGTTTTTAAATTTTAGGATTAGACTTGGTTTAGTTCTAGGTTTACACCTGGTTCAGATCTTTGTTTAGTTCTGGTTTAGTCCCAATGTAGACCAGGTTTTGTTCATTTTAGGATTAGAACTGGTTTAGATCTCAATTTAGACCTGACTTAAACCTATTTTAGTCCTGATTTAGATCTTGGTTTTGTCCTATTTTGGACCTGGTTTAGTCCCTGGTTCAGACCAGGTTTAATCCTGGTTTAGATCTTGGTTTAAGTTTTTGATTTAGTCCTGTTTTGGACTTATTTTAGACCCGTTTTAGATCTTGGTTTAGTCCCTGGTTTGGACCTGGTTTAATCCTGGTTTAGATCTGGGTTTAGTCCTTGATTTGGACCAGTTTTAGTCCTGGTTTAGTTCTCGGCGTGGTCTTATCTTTTCTACTCACACTTCTCACACTTTTCTTTCATACATTTCTACAGTGGCTCTTTTATTTTGAAAATCCCTCTTTTTACGTCTACAGGAAGTGCATTTGACCGTTTTCAAAATAAAACCAAAAACCCTGCGCCCCGTTTGAACCTCTCACTGTGAAAAAACAACAACAAAAAAAAAACACTAAACAATCCTCCGAAATCCAAATCTGACGTCACTGTTAAACCGGAGGAACGAACCACAAACTGTGAAGCACCACAGGAAGAACTGAACTCAGGAAGAGACAGTTTCAAAATAAAATGAAGGAAATGAGAGAGGAACGCCATTTCAGAATAAAACACCTTCTGTTTCTGTGGTCGTCTCGAGAATCCACTGTGGACTAAAACTGGGTCAAAGAAGAAACGTGTGTGAAATTTATAACCATTTTAATCCTGTTTTTTGTCCTGGTCTAGACCCGGTTTAGTCCTGGTCTAGATCTAGTTTAGTCCTGGTTTAGTCCTGGTTTGGTTCTGTCCTAAAGCCTGTTTCTTACCCCGAGTCGTCGAGGTCTGAATGTGAAACTGAACTGTCTGAGGAAACAGAGACTTGTCAAAGTAAAAGCTGTAGATTCTAGTGCCTCTGCGCCGCGTCCACGACAACAGACTCTTATTCTGAAAATCCACAAATCAACACACACGCAGACCTGGTCTAGAACTGGTTTAGTCCTGGTTTCAATCCTGGTTTAGTCCTGGTTTGGACTGAAGATAAGACCTGGTTTTGGTCTTGATTTTCATTCTATGTTAGACCAAAACTAGGTCTGTTTTAGTCCAGGTTCAGTCCAGGTTCAGTCCAGGTTCAGTCCAGGTGTAGTCCACATTTAGTCCAGGTTTAGTTCTGATTTCCATAAAAATATAAAGTGTTTAATTTGCCTCAGGAATCAGTTCGGTTGCCATGGAAACAGTCGGTCGGTTGCCGTGGACGCGGCTCTCGTGTTTCCTCAAAGTTCAGACTGAAGTTTGTGATTTAACCTGTTTCTTCTTCTGTATTTAACCCAGAGTGTGTGTGTCTCAGTGTGTGTGTGTCAGTGTGTGTGTGTGTGTGTGTGTGTGTGTGTGTGTGTGTGTGTGTGTGTGTGTGTGTGTGTGTGTGTGTCTCAGTGTGTGTGTGTGTGTCTCAGTGTGTGTGTGTGTGTGTGTGTGTGTGTCTGTGTGTGTGTGTGTGTGTGTGTGTGTGTGTGTGTCTCAGTGTGTGTGTGTGTGTGTGTGTGTGTGTGTGTGTGTGTGTGTGTGTGTGTGTATGTGTGTGTGTGTGTGTGTGTGTGTGTGTGTGTGTGTGTGTGTGTGTGTGTGTGTGTGTGTGTGTGTGTGTGTGTGTGTGTGTGTATGTGTGTGTGTGTGTGTCATGTGTGTGTGTGTGTGTGTGTGTGTGTGTGTGTGTATGTGTGTGTGTGTGTGTGTGTGTGTGTGTATGTATGTATGTGTGTGTGTGTGTGTGTGTGTGTGTGTGTGTGTGTGGGTCAGAGACTCGCTCACACACGGAAAGAAAAAGAGAAAATGTTAAATGTTAAAATGTAAAATTGGTTCATTTGAATCTGAAATCGAAGCTCCTCAAACTTTTGCACTTTTATTTTAAACATGAAACAGTCACTGGTCCAGTCCTGGTTTAGTTCTGGTTTAGTCCTGGTCCAGTCCTGGTTTAGTTCTGGTTTAGTCCCCGAGTTAGACCTGAGTTAGACTTGGATTAGACCTGGTTCAATCCCTGGTTTAGTTCTGAATTAGACCTGAATTGGACCTGGCTGTATCCCCTGGTTTAGTCCTGGTTTAGTCCTGGTTTAGTCCTGGTTTAGTCCTGGTTTAGTCCTGGTTTAGACCTGGTTTAGACCTGGTTTAGACCTGGTTTTAGTCCTGGTTTAGTCCTGGTTTAGTCCTGGTTTAGACCTGGTTTAGACCTGGTTTAGTCCTGGTTTAGTCCTGGTTTAGTCCTGGTTTAGTCCTGGTTTAGACCTGGTTTAGACCTGGTTTAGACCTGGTTTAGTCCTGGTTTAGTCCTGGTTTAGACCTGGTTTAGACCTGGTTTAGTCCTGGTTTAGTCCTGGTTTAGACCTGGTTTAGACCTGGTTTAGTCCTGGTTTAGTCCTGGTTTAGTCCTGGTTTAGACCTGGTTTAGACCTGGTTTAGTCCTGGTTTAGACCTGGTTTAGTCCTGGTTTAGTCGGGCTTGAGCTCTTTCAGCACGTGGACTTCAATTTTATTTAGTCATTTTATCAGAAAATTCAAATATTTTGGACGAGATTTTAAAGCTCAAAATTCTGGGGAAAAAAAAAAAAAGTGATTCTGGGTCAAATTTTTTTTTTTTACCACAAATAAAATCTCTAAAATTAATCACAACACTGATGGAGACTTTTATCTAGAATTTGGTCTGTTCAAACAGTCCTGGTCCAGTCTTGATCTAGTCCCTGGTCCAGTCTCTGGTCCAGTCTCTGGTCTAGTCTCTGGTCTAGTCTCTGGTCCAGTCTCTGGTCCAGTCCCTGGTCTAGTCTCTGGTCCAGTCTCTGGTCTAGTCCTGGTCCGGTCTCTGGTCCGGTCTCTGGTCTAGTCTCTGGTCCAGTCTCTGGTCCAGTCTCTGGTCCAGTCTCTGGTCTAGTCTCTGGTCTAGTCTCTGGTCCAGTCCCTGGTCCAGTCCTGGTCTAGTCTCTGGTCTAGTCTCTGGTCTAGTCTCTGGTCTAGTCTCTGGTCTAGTCCCTGGTCTAGTCTCTGGTCCAGTCTCTGGTCTAGTCCCTGGTCTAGTCTCTGGTCTGGTCTCTGGTCTAGTCTCTGGTCTAGTCTCTGGTCCAGTC